GAAGAAGAGGGGACACATGTTGATGTAGAAGAGACATGAAGAAGAGGGGACACATGTTGATGTAGAAGAGACATGGAGAAGAGGGGACACATGCTGCTGTAGAAGAGACATGGAGAAGAGAGGACACATGTTGATGTAGAAGAGACATGAAGAAGAGGGGACACATGTTGATGTAGAAGAGACATGAAGAAGAGGGGACACATGTTGATGTAGAAGAGACATGAAGAAGAGGGGACACATGTTTATGTAGAAGAGACATGGAGAAGAGGGGACACATGTTGATGTAGAAGAGACATGAGGAAGAGGGGACACATGTTGATGTAGAAGAGACATGAAGAAGAGGGGACACATGTTGATGTAGAAGAGACATGAAGAAGAGGGGACACATGTTGATGTAGAAGAGACATGAAGAAGAGGGGACACATGTTGATGTAGAAGAGACATGAGGAAGAGGGGACACATGTTGATGTAGAAGAGACATGGAGAAGAGGGGACACATGTTGATGTAGAAGAGACATGAAGAAGAGGGGACACATGTTGATGTAAAAGAGACATGAAGAGGGGACACATGTTGATGTAGAAGAGACATGAAGAAGAGGGGACACATGTTGATGTAGAAGAGACATGAAGAAGAGGGGACACATGTTGATGTAGAAGAGACATGAGGAAGAGGGGACACATGTTGATGTAGAAGAGACATGAAGAAGAGGGGACACATGTTGATGTAGAAGAGACATGAAGAAGTGGATTTAGCAGAATAGGTGAACTTGAAAACATATATATTATAATGTACTAAACAGTGAACAGGATACTGACCTCACAGCCTCTCCTGGACACGGAGGTGAAGTGGGAAGGGATTTCTGTGCCGGAGTCTCCCAGCAGGTGAAGCATTTTATCAGCTGACGATGTGTCTCCCACCAGGTGATCAGCTGACGGTGTGTCTCCCACCATGTGATCAGCTGACGGTGTGTCTCCCACCATGTGATCAGCTGACGGTGTGTCTCCCACCAGGTGATCAGCTGACGGTGTGTCTCCCAGCAGGTGATCAGCTGACGGTGTGTCTCCCAGCAGGTGATCAGCTGACGATGTGTCTCCCAGCATGTGATCAGCTGACGATGTGTCTCCTGCAGATCTGGAGCTGTTCTCTGAGCAGCGGAGCGTCAGGAGCTGTGAGGACGAGAGGCTGTGCAGCCGCAGGAACCTCAGCTGGACCACATCCAGTCCAACATACTCAAACTGTAGAGACACACAGGAGTCAGTTTTCAGATTTATCAAAAGTTTCTCTATTAATTAAAATGTGTTACCTTGTTCCCAGCGTGCTGCTGACTGAGCCATTGGACAGGTGCATTCTTCTTCTTTGATTTCCAACTTAATTTAATCTAAAGAACAGGAGATTAACAATTACAATTGGCTACCTGGTGCCTTAGCTGCAGTTTGATTTTGTGCAGTTTCTTTGATTGGATATTTGTAGTTTAGGGACAAAATCGCCCCTACAAGTTATAATAATGATACATATGAATGTAGGAGTAAGTGAGTGTACCTGTGAGGGTAGAGGCTCGATGCATGTCGCCCCTCCTGCTGTGAAGTTACAGAAAACCCTCACAGAGTCGTGCGGACAGCCTTGGTTGGGGTCCATGTAAAAGAAACCTGAGAGATGATCCACTTTAGTGCCCCATCATTCAGAATCATTCAGTAAACAGTGTAGTGTATTCAGAGGCTCACCATCGCTCAGGTGAGGGTGTATGAGACCCAGCTCGTAGCAGGAGGTGGCAGGATCCTCTTTGGTTCCCTGAGGCCAGCTGAACGAATCCTCTTCCTCCTCCTCTTCCTCCTCAGACCATCTCCTGGACAGCAGCCTGGACCCCTGGGTTAATGGGGTCAAGGGAAGATGTGAAGGAACACTTACACTTATTAAAAACTATAGAAAATGCAAAATGTTGGTAAAATACTGAATGTCCTCTTCCAACATGAGAGCAACATGCTAACAAAGGTATCAACTGTAGCTGTGAACATGACAGGATGTGTGATTACCTAGAAGAGCATCAGGACTGTTTGAGGCATATGATAGCTATGTGATTAACATGATGATTCAGCCTCTATGGAGAGAGACATATGACAAGCATGATCATTTCTGACGTGGAGCTAATCTGAAGTAAACATTGAATACTGCTTTCTATTCCTCCATCTTGTGACTGTGGAACTCCCTCTCTTGGATATCAGCATGTGAAGGACACTGTTCAGGAACTAGTTGATGCTCTGTATGTGATGACTCCTTCCATTCTGGAGAGGATCACAGATACATGGATCCTGAGATTCAAGCTCAAGCCGGGGACCAGCGACCATTTTTCTAACATATCAAGAAACACGTGAGTTGTCTGACTGAACTGCTACGCATTATGTGGACAGAAGCCGTGACACAAAACAAATCAGGGACAAGGTGTAGATAAAGTTTATCTGAGAGGGACACTTGAACCCACGATCTGTTTACCTTCAGGAGGGCCGGTGTTAGTCTGAACCGCGGCACGTTTTCAGGTATTAATCTTTTAATGCGTGCTGTTTTGGGTCTCTGACGACCCGGTCTGAGTTCAGGCTTCGATCCCCGTCTTTGTGAAGGCCTGCGTTTGATGCCTGGTGCTCCTGGCTTCCCCTGTGAGGAAAGAGGGGAGAAACCCATGGCAATAAATTATAATTGAAATGCCTCTTCAAACTTCACAGTATGTTACAGTTAACTTTCTTTTGTTTTAACTGATGATTAGATGAGTGAATGTCTTACTGGAGGTCCTGGCTTGCCTCTCACTCCCTTTGGTCCTCTCCCTCCTTCGACTCCTTTCATTCCCTGTAAACACAGTCAGACTCTGTCTCGATACTAATGCATTTCAACAAATCTCACTATTCACACACATGGTAACTGCAAATAATGAAAGGCTGGAATAATTTCAGGCTGACTGCATGAGCTTTCAAAAAAAATTCTTTGTTGCAAAAGAACATTTGAAAACAGTGAAATCAGGATGCAGGATACAAGAACACACTTAAACCTTCATAGTCAAAAAACATAAATTACAGCATTGTTAGTTTGCTGTTTATATCATGTTTATATATATATATATATTCTTTTTTTTTAAATACTTTTTCCTAAAATACAGATTTCTTTCTGAAAATCTCAAAATTCTGACTTTTAAAAAAATGCTGGTTTTTTCTGACTTTTATTGAAAATAAATTCAGATTTTTGACCCAAAATCTCAGAATTCTCAGAGTATCAGACTTTTCTTTGAAAATTTGGACTTTTTCTTGTAAATCTCTCCCACCAGGTGATCAGCTGAAATTCTGAAATTTTTCCAAAAAACAGATTTTTTACTGAGCATTTCAAAATTAGGATTTTTTCCTATAATTCTGACGTTTTTCGGAAAATCTTAAAATTCTGACTATTTTTTGAAAATCTTAAAATTCTGACTTTTCTCAAAATCTCAAAATTCTCACTTTTTAAAAAAATTCTGACATTTCTGACTTTTTCTTGGAAATCTCAAAGTTCTGAAAAGTTTATAAGAATCAGATTTTTTTCTGAAAATCTCTAAATTAGGACTTTTTCCTATAATTCTGAATATATCAGAATTCTGACTTTTTTACCCAAATGACTTTGTAGGTCTTGTCAATCAGTGCGTTTCCTAAAATCACGCTTGCATGGAGGCATTAAAAAGTCTCACCTTCTTCCCAAGCTGGCCCTGTAAGAAAAAACAAAACAGAAATTACTTTAGTGAAGTGTTTCATAACTTTCTCAAAGAGCAGAATATCAAAGCAACGTACAGGGAGTCCGAGGATGCCTTTACGCCCGTGTGGACCCCGAGGACCGGCCTCTCCCTGTGAAAATAAGTACGTTCATTATTAAATTACTTCTAAAAACATTTAAAAGAGAAGTAAAAACAACTCACCTGCTTTCCTTTATGGCCTATTCGACCCTTCAGCCCCTGCAGACCAGGATTCCCCTGGAAGGTAACAATGTGGTAAAGCAGGAGAAATGTGGCATTTTTTGGAATGTAAATTATTCTAATCTTCAAATATTTCAACAAACCTTTAGCCCAGATGGCCCGACTGCTCCAAATATTCCCATTTCACCTGGGAGACCCTGTAAATAAAGTTGTCAACAAACAATTATCAACAGTGTAATTGTGTCTGATTTTTGCAAGCCGATCAGAGCTTATCGTAAAATCGTTTCCTCTTAGTATATTCTTACAACAAAGAGTCAAGTATATCATTGGAAATGAAAACATAAACCATCTTAACGATAAATAAAACATATTTTTCCCAATAAACCCCGTAATGCAGCACACTTATACCCCTTCTCCACCAAACCAGTTCCAGTTCTAGCTCCGTGCTTTTCTGGTTCTGGACCGGTTCTTCTATTTAGCCCCAGTTGTGTTTCCACCGCTCAGAGCCCAACTGGTGCTTCGTCATCACATCACCGTTAAAGTTAGCGTGACATATATGGTTCTTAGTTTCTGGACGAGCAAATAAGAACTGGTTTTCGGGAGTCAAGAACTGGCCCCACTGCGGTGGAAACAGGAAGAACCGGTGCTTAATCAGACACTAGCTCCGAACTGAAAGCAGATGCATTATTGCCCCGGTTAAGACTCTGCAATTTAATACAGATTTTAATTAAAGATTTATTTACCAGAAAATAGTGATCAGGATTGTTTGGATTAAGATAATTTCTTAAAAAGGTAAACTAGTTCCAGTTCTAGCTCTGTGCTTTTCTGGTTCTGAACCGGGTCTTCTTTTTAGCCCCAGTTGTTTTTCCACCGCCCAGAGCCCAACTGGTGCTGCGTTCTGACATCAGCGTTTAAGTAAGCGTGACATATTTGGTTCTTGGTTTCTGGACGGGCAGTCGAGTGGGGCCAGATAAGAATCGGTTTTCGGGGGCAAAGAGCCCTCTGCGGTGGAAACAGGAAGAACTGGTGGGGAATTGGGCACTAGCTCCGAACTGGCCCTGCAAGCGCTTTGGTGGGAAAGTGGCATTAATGTTGGACTTTACCTTCAGACCAGAGATTGAAGACTCTCCCTTCTCTCCTCTCAGTCCTGGAAGACCCTGTACAGATCATACAGATATTTACAGATGTTATGTTAAGTATTTTATGGATGTTGTTTTACAATTATTATTCTGCTTTCTATACCTTTGGCCCCATTGGTCCAGGTGGTCCTTGTTTTCCTTTGAATCCAGATTTACCCTGAAACACAGAACAGGACATCAGTAGGACATTTCATTATAGAGCAGATTAAAAGGCAATATGCAATACGTAGGTTAACAATAATTGCACAATAATATCCTGCATTATATTTGTTAATGGAAAAGTGTATTTCCACATGAATATTTTCCACCTCACGTGTATATACAGTATATATATATATTAAATTTATTTCTTGTGTCTTAATTTCTGTAATTTGTTAATTGCCTTGTTTTTTATGCTGCTGCAACATTTCCCTTTCTATCTATCCATCTATCTATCTCTCTATCTATCTACCTACCTGTCTCTCTATCCATCTATCTCTTTATCCATCTATCTATCTACCTATCTCTCTATCCATCTACCTACCTGTCTCTCTATCCATCTATCTCTTTATCCATCTATCTATCTACCTATCTCTCTATCCATCTATCTATCTATCTATCTATCTATCTATCTGTCTATCTATCCATCTATCTATCTATCTATCTATCTATCCATCCATCCATCTATCTAACACATTATATTGAGGGACAATCACACGTTAATAAAGTCAAATAAGTACTTAGTTACTTGATGGTTATAGGCAGTGTTATTGTACACCAGGGGTACATCAAACGATATACACATGTCCACAGTGAATATACAGGACATTTTGACTATTTCAATTCATTATAAAAAAATGAATAAAGGCAATAATGTTGTACCTTAAACCCTGGTGCTCCACTGCTTCCTCTGACCCCAGGAGATCCAGGTTTTCCCTACAACATTAAACACATTTTAGATGTATTTAATGTCACAAAATATGGTGTTATGGTGAAGTTATGCACGTCATCCATGTGTGTTTTGGAGCTTACCATTTTGCCAGTGCTGCCAGGTTTCGCAGGAGCTCCTCTGAAACCTACGTCACCCTTTGGGGACGAACAGATCATCATTTAGTAAAAAGATGAACAATAGAACGACCACATGTATTATAGTAAGGACTGTTTCAACCTACTGGATCTCCAGGATTTCCTTCAACCCCGAGTAACCCATCCAGACCACTGAGGCCCTGAAAACAGGATCACAAGACAAGGAAATAATCGTCAAGAGATTCCTCTCTTTCGGTTCTTTGTGAGCTTGAATACAACTCGATGTCACGATCTGTTTATTTTCTGTGTCATTTGGGATTGTCACAGTCTGTCGGGTTCCCGTTTTACTTTGAAAGTTATTCACCCCTTGTCTCATGTCTGTACTTGCTTCCTGTCGCCTCCCCTCTCCAGCTGTTTCTTGTGATTACCCTTCTGTGTATTTAGTCTTGGGTTGCTGTCGAATTGTCCAAAAATCATCTCCTATCGTCTTTTCCTATCCACTATTCCTTGACCTCTGTGTGAAACGTCACGGGGTTAAGGGATAGTGGATAGGAGAATTCAAAAGGACTTAGGAGAAGAGACAGTGTTACGTTGATTTGTTTGTCCTTCTCGGACCATGCACTACGCACTTCAGTGGTTTTGTGTTAGAAAAGAAAGCAACCAATCAGATCTTGTTCTGGGTCTCTGGGTAGAATATCCTTCAACAAGGTATTCTACATCCTTGATCGAATGCCCTGGCCGTTGCAATGAATGAGAGCGTACGTTTGGACTGACAGTTTGATCAACCAATCATATATTGATTTGCAGCCAATGGGCGTGTTCTTTCAGAGTTCCCCTCGGTTCCAGGGTACTCTAGAAGGCCCGCTAGTTAACTGGCTCGAGACAGAGATGAATGCACGAAGCAATTCATGCCGTTTTATTGTTTTTAACGTTGAAATGACAAGTGCAACAGGTGAAGATGAAGTTGTTGCGGAATTGTTGTGAGTACCCTTTTCAAGACGACAATTCAGTGAAAAGACGGACATTATAATGCCGCGG